AACCACAGCGACCAGCAGGTCGGCTCTGCCCATCCAACTGAGGCCCCGCCTCTCTCAGGCCCCGGCTCCCTTCTGCTCTCGATGGAGGCCTACCTGCGCCATGTCTCTGCACCCGTGTTCTCACAGGGATGCTGCCTGCAGCCGTTCCTGAGGCCCGCCCAACTCTTCCTGCCAGATTCCGATCAAAGGAACACCCAGTAGAGGTCTTCCTGACCTCCTACCCCTAACCCTGCGTCACTGTCCTCCACACCACCATCACAGGGGACGCTCACACGACAGGACCAGCTGTTCCCTGCTGCCCACCAACAGGTCAGGAAGCCCACAGGGCCCATGCACTGCCCAGTCTCCGGCACCTGTGCCAGCGTTCAGCTCAGAGGAGGAACCCTGCCATCGGCTGTTAAAGAAGTGTTAGGACAAAACCTTAGAAGACACAGGAACAGGCTCGTCGTGAACGCCAGGCCCTCAGCTCAGCCCTCAGCAGACTGCATCATCCCTCCCATCCTAACACTGCCCGGTCCTGCTCCTCTGTACCTGCCAATGCACGCCCTCGCCCGGGTGCTTACCGACCCCGGTGGCCCTGCCCACGGCTAACTGGCCAGTTCCAGCCCGGGCTTCATTTAAGGTCTACCTCAGCTCAGGTCTACTGGCACGGGGACTCCAAGATACAGCGTTCTCACTCAGGAATTTGAACAAGATACGGAAATGGACTGCAGCCGAGGGGGGGCACGGCCACAACCCCGAGCCAACTGACTGGGAGGGCGCTGACACAGGCTCACGTCCCAGGGGCTTCCCATCCAGAACATTCCTTCGCTGCAACGCGCACAAAGCTGCTTCCTACCATTCAAGTCTCCACTGGTGCAAACTAGTCACGTTCTCCCTCTTGCTCACACATTTTCACAACCCCACAACCCCTCTCCATGAGCTACCCGCGTGGGTTCTTGCAAACAAGCTAAGCAGAGCACTTTACTGTGTACCACTCATCTGGGACTGTGTGTGCCACTCATCTGGGACTGTGTGTGCCAGGACCTCAGTGAGGGAAAGCCGGCCCGCAGGACTGAGACACCAGCAGGTGCAGAATGGACATGAAAGGAGGCCTGCGGGCCAGGGTGAGACGCACGAGCAAAAAACGTCCCCTTCCCGCGGAGAACACTGCCTGTTCCGAAAGTGATACTCAGTCAACGTTTCATTTACTGAGCGAACGGATTGCAGTGGGGCAGGATCCCGAGCGAATGGGCTGCAGTGGGGCGGGAAGGCTGACTGACACACAGAAACTTTGTCAGCACTACCAAAATAGCAAATACACTTAGAAAGTTTATTAAAAATAGGCTGCAACCGAAATACAGCAGAAATGGAAAACTACAGCAGTTTGATTGTTGTCCACAGTAACGCACAATTAGGAAAAGCACTTTACACAGACTTACATCGGCCCCAACGGTGCAGATGGCCAAAACCACTTGTTTGCAGGCTGGACAGCCACACGCACAAACCTCCTGGCATGTAGATATTTACAGGTACTTGCAAGGAGCCCTGGTTGCACAGTGGTTAAAGCGCTCGGTGGGAAGGACCCTGTGACTGTCTGCGTCCTGCACACACACTGTGAACCGGATGAGTCGGAGGCATGGTTTGGTTTGGTGTCTGGCTGGCATGTACTTATGGGTATCAGAGGTTTCGTGCATGTTGACACCTCATCTTCTCAGTGGACGAGCTGAGGATCCATCCCCGCTGCCCGTGGTCCTGGGAGACCGGGAGAAGCTTGCTTCCCCTGAGCGCCAGGGCCAGTGAGCAGGTCCTTCCTCAACGCCCCGGCTTAGACGAGGGACATGGGAGGCCTGACACATGCCGAGCCAGTGTCTGCGCCCACTCTGGGAAGCAGTCCCCACGGGACTCCGTGACCCCGACGGCAGCGAAAGCCTGGCTCCTGTGGGCAAGCGCGCCTCCTCCCCGACCTGTGTTCCTAAGAGATGACTATGCCACACAGAAAATCATCTACACCCGTCACAGCTGTCAGCCAGCAAAGGTCCCGAGAATGCCACGGGACTGGCCATCTCAACACCCCACAACGCAACAGAGCTCCTCCGCCCCAGCACCAGCCACACCCACAGCTGAAGAAGTGACAGTGGTCACCAGCAATTCAACAAACAACATTAAATAAGTCTACCACACGAGGAAAACAGCCTCAACGACCGTAAGCGACTCAAAATCTTTAAGTTACAAACGCCCTGTGTAACGGAGCCCGTGCCTTTCCCTGAAAGTTGACTGGTGTCACTCTGCCTCTCCTTCAACGCAGTTTCTGAGCAACAGCTGTGCCCAAGCGGCACTTGTTAACCCTCTCTCTGCTGCACGTTTGTTCCCACTCAGATGCCCAATGCTGTTCAGTTCATGTCCTTTGCTATCGCTTGGGATATCTGAAATAAGAGTTAACTTCCTGACCTGAGAGTCACCTTCAAACTCACCAATGAGATACTCATTGAAATAATACGGTATTTACGCAAATAAGTATTTTCAAATACTTCAAAGTGATTGAGGGCAAACACGCTAAGGAGCGAGGGGGGGGGCAGTCTCGACCATGCCTCTGCTCGACCTGCCACGGGTGCCAGCGGACCTGCCTCTCTGGGGCGGGCAGCGAGAGCCAGCACAGTGTGGTTAGGGGCAGGCCGCCCGGCAGGCTCTGCACTCCCCTGGGGGCCAACTGCACTTTCCAAGGAGTGCAGCTCAGTCCGGGGAGCCCGAGCTAGCTCCTGGCAGCTCAAGTCTTTCTGAAAGGGCAGAGGTAGAATTCACTGTCTGTGCTCAGGGGTCAATTATTTTTTGGGGGGGAGGGGGGCGCTCATTTCCTTCCACTGCCCTTTGTTCCATTCCTTTGAACTCAGATTGCAAACTAGGAACTATCAACCCTAGGTACCTTCGCGCAACTCAGGTCATCAGGAAATGGGCGCATTCACCTTGAACACCTGACAATCTCTAGGTGAAGGAAATCTCTCGGAATTGCAACGCATCTGACACTCACCCATTTCCAAAACAGATGCGAAAACCCTTAAAACGGGCTGCCCTGCCTGGCCCCACCCGCCCCACAGCCCGCCCTCATTTCGTGTTCAGTTCGTTTTCCAGTTCCGTCAGTTTCCGTGAAGCTTTCACTCTGTCGGACACGTCCTGGCCTTGTGAAAACAGCCGCTGGCGCTCCTTGAATGTCAAGTTTTCCGGGGCTCCAGAAAGCCCGGACGGATCTGCATCCTGGCTGCATAGGGAAAATGCAAATGATTACACGTCACAGGGGAAGCAGGCATCAGTAAGTATGTCAGCTCACACAGCGGGCGAGCTAGATTTTCTGACCGTTCTGCTGCTGTTGGAAACATAGCCAGCAAAGCACAGTGCTGTGCCTGTTTCTCCGCAGACAACCCAGTGGCCTGACGGCATTCCTCTAGTCGTGCAACCCCGCCCACACTCCTCTAGGGCCTTGTTCCTCCCCCAGCTTCCAGTCTCATCTTTCGGGCTGCTGTTGTCAGCGATCCCACAGATAGGTCTTAAAAGAGCATCTGCTCCACGCAGACCTTGTTGACTAATTAAGCTAACCTGGCACTTGACTGCTAACCAGAAGGCTGGCGGTTCAAACCCACCAGCTACTCCTCGGAAGGAAGATGGGGCAATCTACTTCTGTAGTGATACTGCCTGGGAAACCCAAGGAGGGGTCGCCATGAGTCGAGTCCAACTCGACGGCACATAACAACAACAACAACAACAACAACAACAACAGTGTTTAGTTTAAAGAAGACTTCAGGGAATGTTTAAGGTGTAAAGATGACCTCAGGACAACAGTTACAGGAGTTCATCAGCCTCCATGATTCCACAAAATCTAGATTTCATCAGAATTTTAAATTCTGTTCTGCACTTCCCCCCACCCTTTGGTTAGGATTCCTCAATGGAATCTTTGACCAAAATGTTTGGTAACAGTAGCTGGGCACCATCCAGTTCTTCTGGTCTCTTGGCAGAGGCAGCAGGTGTTCACAGAGCCATCAGCCACACAGCCCACCTCCCCTTCCTGTTCCTGAGTAAGATTTCAGTAAGACACTATTCTCTGTCCCACACCACCCTAACCCTCCCTGTAATTAAAATTACGAGGACTGCTTTTAAGCTCACATATAGAAAGGGCAAGGGCCGTCTCCCTACTCAGGTGTTAACCTCCTCAGGCATGTCTAATTCTCAAAAGGCTCGTAATTTATAGCAAGAAGATTAAGTCCTGCCAGTGAAACAAGTTCACAGGATACAGTTTCAAAAAGAGCATTTTTATAAATCCAGCATGCACCTGTGTGGCGTCTCAGTGTGTGCTTGATATGACCATAATGGCAGCCTATAAAACAATACACACACTTGATGTGAGAAGTGTGACCCTAATTAAGGGCACTGTGACCCTGATACAAGGGCAGTATGCCCTAATTAAGGACAGTGTGATCCTGATGGAAGAACAGTATGACTGATCCTAACGTATTGACAGTGTGACATGGACAATTTTCCTGGTTGTCCAACTTCAATGCTGTAGGAACTACCAGGTAACAGTGTTTCTGACTAAAGCTGCCTCACAGCCCACTGGTGGTCTAGTGCCATCAGGGTGGACCCTTGGGTGTCATCCAGCATTTCTGCCCTTCCCTGGTAGAAAGGGACCAACATTGTGGCCACTACCCTATGTGCCGGCTGTAAGCTTGGAAACCCACACCACTGTCTGAACACACGATAAACAGAGCGTGTGGGTGCACACTTCACATCAGGCCTGTGAGCTGCTGGCAGGTCTGAAATCCCACCAGCCCCCTTCCGCCCTGACAGGGTCGGCCCGGGGAACAGAGAGCGCCCCTGACTGGCCCGAAGCAGTGGCGCCGCACGACTGGGCGCACCTTTTAGCCCGTTTCTCTCTCGGGTCCCGGTGAGCATCCTGAGCACTCACAGCTGGTCCAGCAGGTCCCGGGTGCGAGTCCAGCCCTTTTCCAGAAAGAGAACATCAGTGTCAGAGTTGCTGCACCACACCTGGCCCTGCACTGCTGACAAAGACGCAGGGCCCAATGAGACAAGACATCTTTCCCTACTGACAGAAAAGCAAGCCACGACTCAGAGATGACAAAGGACCCAGCAATTGGACAATCACGCCCGACGGTGGCCTGTGTAAGCCAATCACACTCCCCTCAGAAGGTGCTCAGCTCCTGGCCTGGCGCCTGCGTCACCAGAGACGTGAGCCGTGTTGGTCTCAGGGACCGACAGATACCTTGATGCAGAAGACGAACATCAAGTCACAGTGCGTAACTACCACGGCTGCAGAAGAAACCTCCACAGAGGACTCAGGGAGGAGATGGGCAAACCCCTGGAGACACACGCCTGACGCTAAGCATTTTCCTCCTGAAAGTCACTAACAGCAAATACAGCCCAGAGCCAGGACAGAATCAGGCGACTGAAGTTCTTCCTTCTTGGAAGATTGGCACAGTTTTGTTTTTCTCAAATACACGGCTAAAATTATGGAAACAAAACAAAAACTTTTCAAACAAACTGGGAGCGCGTCTTGCATTTAGCAGTAGGGCCAGTGTGGAAGACTCCCCGGTGAGGCTAAGACGGAGAGATGCGAGGCAGCACACACGCTCGGGAGACTGCCTCTCACAGGGCATGCAGCAGCACGGAGGTGACCAGGTGTCGCCCTGGCAACACCAATATGCATCCCGTGACCTTCAGGAGCGATGAGGCAGATGAAAAGTTTTACCAACTCCTGACAAGGTCTCCAAGATAACAGTATCATTAACACTGTATTAGAACCGCAACCCAGTGAATCAGCACTGCGGTATTTCTATCGATTGTGAAATTGGTGAGGCAAAAAAATGCCCTCCCATCTGAAGGACCTGTGCTGTGGCTGGGCAGAGCCCACGTCACGGAGGAGAACTACCCCATCGGGTCTCCTAGACTGTCATCCTCACGGGAGCACATGGCCAGGTCTCACCCTCGGAGGTGCTGAGTGGGTCAAAACCCGCCAACGTGCTGCCTGGCAGCCGGCTCCCCGCTGCACCCCCAGGGCGGCTCAGCGCCACCCCAGGCCGGACTACTAAACGCTCAAAAGCTTCAGCCAACACTGACTGCACTGAGTGCTGGATTAGACAGGCCACATGATTACACTCCCACGTTGAAATGATCCTTTTTACATGATCCATCTTTTCTCTGAAAAGGGTCCCGAGCCAAGCGGACACGCCCATGTCCAGACACAGGGAGTTCTGTCCTGCGACACCCTGGGCACTGCAGCTGCCCCTGGAGGGACACAGCTCAGCCACAGTCCTGTGGAGGGAGCCACGCTCAGCAAGGACCCAGAGTGTCACACTGGGCTCCACTCTCCCCCCAGGCGGCCAGCCCACGTGGGCACCGGCGAGAAAGCAGGGCCTGCTGGGAGTTTGTCTATGCTCATTTTCCTCCTGGTTTTGTTTGTTTTTACAAACACTGTGTTGGACCTTTTGAGCTTTGCTTTAAGGATGACACCAGTTTCTTCCACTGGTAAAAATTAATTCTTCAACTTTGTAAGCTTTTTCAAATTTTAAAACCTTTTGGAGTTCAAGCACCAGGTACTTTCAGTTGCCTTTATATGAACTAGCATAGTATGTGTGGAATGAATTTCTGAGAGCTGTAACGGCAAGCACCCTGGGGAGCAGCTCTGCTCGCAGTGCCCAGTGGAAGAAGCCAGGGAACGCGTATGAAGCGTGTGCTTTGCCCGAGGCCCAGAGAAGGGTGAGACAGAAGGCGCCCAGGTGAGCGGGACGAGGAGATGGTGGCAGAGGGTGGGCTGTAGGTGAGGTGCACAGAGCCATGCTTCATGAAGGAGCCCGCACCAGACACACGATCAGAGTGTGGGTGTGCGGTAAGACCGGGGTTAGCAGAGAGCCTGAAAGCCAGGAAGGCAAAGTGACGCCAGCTACGGGATTCTCAGCTGTCACCAAAATGTCATCTGTGACGTGTCACTTATAAAATATCTGGGCTTCAGCTTCTAATTTGATATAAGGAAATTACTGGCATCTCACTTCAAAATCTGGTATCATGCCATCAACATCCCTACGTGGTGCCAAACTCAAGACGTTTACAACAAAAATTTTACGAAAATACCTAAGTCTGGCTGCCAGACTGACTTCATGGAAACACAGCCAGACACAGGACCTTCAACAAGGACAGAGCTCTGATCTGGGGACAGATGGCATTCTGCCAAAGCTCCCTTACTGGACAAGAGCCCAGTTAGACTGGTTTTCAGATCAGCAGCAGGTGGGACTGTCAAAGAAAATAAACTGCTGATTTTTAAAGCAAAGTAACGTTCCGCTTCGCCAGGGCTGGGTGTCCTGTTCGGGGTGGCAGCACCCAGAACGCGGAAGACGCCACACCTTGGGCTATTCATAAGCAGTGCTGTCAGAATCTGTACCCCTTCCGGTGGTGGGGTCTGAACTCGGGACCCTCTCACTCAGTCCTGCTTCAACGCCATGCAGCATGGCTCCCGTGCACCATCAAACGTGAAGCCACAGCTCAGGCACCTACGTGCTGACCAGGGCTGGCGACAAGTGCTGCAGTGTGCCAAGACGCAGGGCGACAGTGAGGAAGGACCTTAGTCAGAGGGAAAGAGGCGGCCCCGCGTCATTTCAGACTAATGTGGTCTCACAGCCCGGCAAGGGCAGCTGTGCATTCATCACCCTGTTGGACAGAGCCCGTCCACTACGCCTAGCGCCCACCCTCAAGGGGCAGCCTTTCTGTTGGCAGGGCCCCATGGCACTTACTCTGGGGCAGAGTTCTACTTAGCCAAGTAACTCAGCAATGACCCCAGCACTGTTCCAGGCACAGATACCGGGCCAAGGCCCTGGCTCTGGCCCATGGGAGGGTTGTGGGGCGGGTGGGGAATGAACCAAGCCAAGGCCAACAGTACTGCAGTCAGCTGAGGGAAGATGCGGGGCTGACTGCTGCGAGCTGACCAAAGGGGAGCCGGGACAGAGAACTGGAAGACGTTTCCAGAAAGGCGTGAACACAGGCATGGATTGGAGGCAGGGTCCCCAGCCAGGAGCAGGATCAGTGGAATCAAAGCCCAGTGCCCAGTGATCGGCAGAGTGCGGACAGCCACCCAGGCAGGAGCCGCCCGGCTCCTCTTTCTGCTCTACCTGGGGAGGCCCCAGGGCGGCAGGAGCTCGGTTGTTTTGGAGGGGGCAGGGGCTGGCCTGCTTGGTGGGCAGTACTGTTGGCTTTGACCAAAGGTGGCTGGAATGAGTTGGAAACAAAGATGCCATCGGAGACAGGGCGCAGCTGGCGAGTGGGCTGCGGTTTAGGGGCGGTGGCCAGAAGGTCCCCATATGACTGTCTTGTGCTGGCGTACTTATCCTGACCTGCCAGGCTGGGATCCTCCTCCTCCTCACTGTATGTGACAAACGTGGCCGTGAACAGCGAGTCAGGGGAGCGGGCCTGCGTTTTGAGGTAGGAGGTGTGGCGCTGAGGTGGGGGAGGAGGAGCGCCGGGCGCGGGGACCGGGCACGGGGGCTGGTAGTCCCGTGGAGGTGGCGGTCGGCACAGACCCGGCTCCTCAGCCTCCACCAGCCCCCGCTGGGCCTCTTCGTGCTGTCGGCGCCGCTCAGCCTCCAGGCGGCTGTAATAGCCTTCTTCCTGACGCCTCTGCAGGCAGAATAAACAGAAGGTGGCGTTAGTGGGGACAGCAGGGCCCACTGTGCCACCCGGAGTACCACCCACCCACCACAGGTGGGGCAGACCGTGACCGGACAGGCAGGCTGGGGGCCTGAGGACACATATCACTATCCTGAGAGTGTTGGGAGGGGAGGGGCAGCGGGTGGGAGGGGGCAGCGGATGCGTGAGGGGCGCCAGGTGGGAGGGGGCGTCAGACACGCGAGAGGGGTGCCGGGCAGCAGAGGGCTCCGAAGCATCAAGCACGTGGACTCTGGGGCCTGCAGACCTCGCTCCCCGTCCCCTTCCAGCCGCCAGACTGCACTCGGCTCAGTCCTTGGCTCCCTCCTGCTCTTCCCAGAGCAGTAACTTACCTGTTCCTGCTGCATTTCAAGAGAAAAGAAAAGTCACAATAGCTACAACGGCCTTTCTGAATTGCGAATGCACACACTTTTCCAGGAAATGGAAGTGGACTCAGGAGCCAGTTCGTTCCCTGCAGGAGTGGGGACTGGCCGTCTAGTTTACCCCAGCCGTGCAGAGGCAGGCAGGTGGGGGCAGCCGCATTCATCCCCCCTCCCCACGATCTAAAGGACTCCAATCTTAGTCAACTCCCTGACGGACAGAAACGCAGAGCCGGGCATGAACAGCAACAGCAAGGAGAACTCAGATCGCTTGGACATAGTGGACATTTCTTCTGACATACATCTGCACAGACCACAGTTGACAGTGGTGAAATTAACAGTAGAACCAGTAACAGCACAGTTTTGTTAAAGATCCACATAAGTTTAGAGTACAAGGAAAAGTTACCAAGAAAGCGAACCGGAGAGATGAGAGGGTGTCACCTGTGGTACCTCCAGCACTCAGTGCCGCAGGACTGGGAGGGAGCTGACTCCCTCCCCTAGAGACGCCTACTGTCAGGGACCCTGCCAGCATCAGTTCAAAGCTTCAGCCCCACTTCAGTTTCCGCGTCTGTGCTTCACTCCACTACCCTAAGGCTGCGCGCACACACAGAGTACACGCAGTATACACAGATACACCCCAACACTCAGTACACACACAGAGTGTATGCAGACATACCCTGACACTGAGTACACACAGAGTATATGCAGACACACACCCCGACTCTGAATACAGAGTATACACACACCCAGACACCGAGTACACACACCCACAAAGTATATGCAGACACACCCCAAGTCTGAGTACACAGAGTATACCCACACCCAGACACCGAGTACACACAGAGTATACGCAGATACACCCCCAACTCTGAGTACACACACAAAATGTATGCAGACACACCCCAACTGAGTACAGAGTATATACACACCCAGACACCGAGTACACACACACACAAAATATATGCAGACACACCCCAAGTCTGAGTACACAGAGTATAGCCGCACCCAGACACCGAGTACACACAGAGTATATGCAGATACACCCCCAACTCTGAGTACACACACAAAATGTATGCAGACACACCCCGACTCTGAGTACAGAGTATATACACACCCAGACACCAAGTACATACACACACACACACACAGTATATGCAGACACACCCCAAGTCTGAGTACACAGAGTGTACCCACACCCAGACACTGAGTACACACACACACACATACACAGAGTATATGCAGATACACCCCCAACTCTGAGTACACACACAAAATGTACGCAGACACACCCTGACACTGAGTACACACAGAGAACAGACACACTCCAACTCTGAGTACACAAAGTATACACACACCTCAACACTGAGTACACACAAAGTATATGAAGACATACCCCAACTGAGTACATAGAGTACACAGAGTACATAGAGTACAACTGAGTACATAGAGTACACAGAGTATACACACGAACCGACTCTGAGTACAAACACACACAAAGTTTATGCAGACACACCCCAACTGAGTACATACACACAGAGTATATGCAGATACACCGCAACTCTTGAGTACACACAGAGTATACACACATCCTGACTCTAAGCACACACACACAGTGTACAAAGACACACCTCAACACTGAGTACAAACACACAGAATATATGCAGACACATCCTGACTCTGAGCAGAGTATACATACACCCAGAGTGCACACAGAATATATGCAGACACACCCCAACTCTGAGTAAACAGAGTATATGCAGACACCCCAACACTGAGCATGTGTGCATACCCAGAGTATATGCAGACACACCCAGACACTAAGTGCACACACAGAGGATATGCAGACACACCCAGACACTGAGTACACATAGACACACACAGAGTATACACAGACATACCCCAACACTGAGCATGCGTGTGCACGCACACACACACACGCACACATACAGAGTATACAGACACACCCCAACACTGAGTACACATACACATCTATCCTGAGGACACCACCCCAAACACTGACACATACACCCAGTCAGTGAAGACACATGCACACCATGAGGACACCCCCACCCAACAATGACACACCCCCACAGACACCAAGGGGGCACACACACATATACCCTGACATTGAGTACACACACACAGTGAACACACTCAGGATGCACTCACTGACCCTGAGTACAGACACACCCGGACACCGACACACATACACCAAGTCGTGTGTGTGTGTGAAAACACACAAACACTGAGCACACACACACACAGACACGTTAAGTACACACAGATACTCCAGACACACACACATAGCCCAAGGACACACTGAGGACCCAAACACCAACACGTCTCAGAGGGCACTCTCAGGGAGAAGCCAGCAGCCCAGAGGCCAGCCCCACCATCCCCCTGGGCCCACTTCATCTTCACAATGAGGGGAAATTCTGAAAACAAGACGGTTGCATCTCACTGCCTACATAAAGTGAGAGCTTCCTTGGGAGCCGGGGAGTCGACTCCCTTGTGACTTGGGCGGCTTTTCAAGGAACTGTCAGGAACCTCAGTATTACATGGTAACATCAAAGGGGACCCAACGCATCTTTAGTTACAGAAAAGCAGATACAGGCCATGATCCAAGGAGACAATGTGCTACCACCCAAGTGGCACGTTTCTCTAGGACAAAGCACGCCATCCATGTGGGAGTCTATGAAAATAAGCTGGGGGGCTTCTTTTCACCCCGACTGGCAGTTACAGAAGCAGCCACTAAAATGTGAGGGTCTCGGACAGAGAGTTGTGAGAACGCATATTGGAAAAACCCAGCAGCTGAGGGTTCTGCAACACAGCCAACAGGAGCTGGCCCCTCAGCCCCGTGTGGCGTGGGACGCGGCCCACGGCCCACTCACCACCCCAGCACAGGGGGCACATGCTGCAGAGGGGACCACAGGGGAGTCAGCCCAGAGCCGGGGCACAACATTCCCAAACAGCTAGGAACAGCTTCTGAGGAGCAGCCGAAAAACCCACCCACCAGAAAAATTGGCAAGCGGCTCAAATGTCAAACACGTGGAGATCTGATTTCCTTAGAAAGACCCCCCCAATCTTGACTTATCATTACAAAACTGGAAGACACAGGTGGGCTCATCCTGAGAGCTCCAAGCCATGGTGACCTGATTACATACAACAGGTAAGACAGTCAGACGCTGTCAGAGATGGTGAGAGTCTCTAAGACTCGAAAGTCACCAATTTCAAACCAGCTGTGGTTCTCAGGCCACAGTGTCTGTCCGTCCATCTCAGACTGCTCTGCATCCCGACAGATCTTAGGAGACGCCCCCTCTAGTTCCTCTTTTCCTGGGGCACCGCCCTAACATCGTTCTCTGGACTCTCAAGGAGGGGATTAGGGGACAGAGCCGACGTTGCCCCACGGGGAGTCACAGCGCTCGCAGCTCCCCCTTCACAGAAGGGAAGTGACAGGAAAGGGCAGCTCTCGGATGCAGGCCTCGCACCTGGTCCTCGCAGACACACAGACAGCACGGCCAGGGAGCCAAAGCGAGAGAGGCCGAGGACGCAGACAACACGTGGCAAGTGTTCCCCCTCTGACAACACGGGCACCCAGAGGCCTCGAAAGAAATGACATCTGGAAGCAAGCGTCGCGCCATCGTGCGTAACGGGTTACGCGCTAAGCGAACCATCTTGGTAACGTTTTATAAGTCACTGGCTTTCTTTGACACCAGCTGGGACGGGTTAACTTCAGTAAGTTGTCTACGTAACATGGTCAGTGTTCACGGCTCTCTTACTACGCTCCCAGTGCCTCCCGTGGTGGAAATTCAATTTCCAAGTAACTAGACACACGTCACCACAACAGCTGGCCCGCGCCAGGAAGGATGCCTACCAGGGCAGACCGCCCCCTTGGAGTCCAGAGGTGAGAGAGGAGGGTCTGGAGACAGGGTTCAGAAGAGAGGTGCTGGGCCCAGCCAGGGAGTTTGTGGTCCAGTCGCCAAAGCTGGGGCCCAGGCCCTGCCCCGTGGCGGGCCTGTGGGGGACTACCGCGGCTGTGCCCTCGCCCGCGGGCCACCAAGCTCAGGCCGCGCACCATCCCAGCTCCTCAGAGGACCAGGACCTTTTCCTCGGCGTCCCGCCTCCCGCGCTCCTCCTCTCGGCGCCGCTCGGCCTCCTGGCGGGCTCGGTCCTCCGCCTCCCGCTGCCGCAGCTCCTCCAGCTGCTGCTGCCTCCGCCGCTCCTCCTCCTGCAACTAACGACAGATCAACTCCACTTTCCACTCGGGGAGACCCTCGACGGCACACTGAGCGCACAGGTAGGACGAGCAGGCAGACAGACACACACACACGGAGTTAATACAAAGCCACCATGGGAAGACCACAGAATGGACACGGCCAACATCTACAGGTCCGGGTACGTCACTGAGAAGCGCGGCCCCAACCCCGGCCGTCCCCCACTGTTAGCGCTTCCGTCCATGCACTAGATACGCACAGTGCCTGCGTTAGAATACTTACGGTACCCAGACTCAAACAAGGGACAGACTCTGGGGCCTGTCTTCCCGAGGACCAAGCTGTCAGCTCCTGTCCTACTCTGGCCCCCTGCCCCCTGCAGTCCCACCCTGGGCTCAACTCGGGGGCCCCCGTCGGAGTCATGGACTGACACTTAGAGGGGACCTTATTCTCACACTCCCATTTCTAAGCGGCTACTCTGTGTGGATGTGTCGGGTGTCTGGGGACCTGCTCCCTACCTCCCGAGAGCACCTCCTACTTTCAGGAAACCGTTTGTCACAAAGTCCTCACGCTGGTCGCACACCATCTCCTGACTGCTTCCCATTTGGCCCAGTCGAGCTCTGAGATTTTGAAACACACCAGTGCCTCCCCTTCATCCTCTTCAACTTCTAGAGCGTGTGGCCATCTCCCTGAGACCTGCATCCCTATGGTTTTAGCTGCTGATCACCCTGGCCACACTTCTCTGTGCCCTACAGCTCGGAAAAGGACCCTGGGAAGGCTCATCTGACCAGACCAGAGTAGAGAAGCCCCCTGTCCCGTGTGGTGCAGCCTAACAGAACGGTACCTCTGACCCTGCTGCACGTGCCCAGACCTCTTGGCGGCACAGACCTGGCTGTACCATTGCACACAGCAACTGCCGACGCCAGCCGACGCCAAGCCACTGACTACAGCCTCTATTCACTGGTAGCACCCCTCCCACGGCAGTCCCCAGGCGCACCCCAACGCCCACAGGAGCGCTGCTCAGTCTACCGCTGGGCTACAGACACAGGGAACAGCAGCAGGAGGACGTGCCCACTCCTGGATTCAGACTGTGTTTGTGTGCACGGCTTTTCAAAAAGACCAAAACCCAAAACCCGACAACAATCCCTTCCTACTGCCTGGGGGAAACACGCCACACTGGTGGGAGAACGACTGGCCCCCACGTCACTAGGCTTCTTTGTGGGAACCAACACCAGCGGCCATCCCAGGAGGACCCTTCCTCTCCCTCAGTGTCGCCAGAAGCCCAGTGCAGGCAGATGGCCGGCTGAGGGGTCTGCAGCAGGGGTCCACAGACACCGCTGAAGGAGAACCGAAGTGGCAAGGGTGGGAAAGGAGAGGTGGCTGGGCAGGGGGCGACTCCTTCCATCCGATGACTCACAGCCACGCAGAGATTCAGCAGTCCCAGGGGCCTGAGTACAAGCTATGGCAGATGCCACTCAACAAAAGGAAGGAACAAAATCAAACCCCAGTCATCAGAACACTGTATTAGAGAGGTAACTGACAGAAACCCAGGGAACTGCAGTAATGCACAGGGCTCCCCTCGGTCAACAAGCACGCAAGGATTCCACCCCGACTTTCTAGACCCAGGTGCACAGGGCAGGCGCGAGGAAAGGTAAAGTCCCACAGGCAGGTCGTTCTCTGACAGGAGCGTACCTTCTAAAATTGTATGGGAACAAGTGCAATCCTCATCTACTGTTTTGGCAACTACTTTGTCTTTTATAAAAGCCTTCCTCCTTCCCAGTCTGGACAGCAATGAGCACGGAGGGTGCCTGTATCCCAAGTGTTAGCAACTGTTGCCGAAGAAAAGCCTCTTAACCGGGCAGTGCTATTTCAAGCCCGTCACAGAGCTCATGCATTTTTACTTCCAAAACAGAAATGCTGCTTAATTTTGCCTGTGGCTCCAGACGCAGCCAGCACGAGCAGCCAGCAGCTCAGACAGGCCCTGAGCGTGGCGCGCCAGTCAGCACCGTCAACGCGTGTTCTGACTTCGGTCACACGTTTAACGGCATGCAGGGACAAACTCCCGCCTCGTGAACACTGGGACTCAAGGACGTGAGCCCACTGCCCAAAGTGAAAAGAACAACGAGACGCTTTTCCAGGAAACAGCTACCACAGCAACCTTACCGCAGTGGCACAGTCAAGTGCGTGACTACTCGCCAAACGGTTGGCAGTTCAAACCCACTGCTAGGCACTTGGGAAGACAGGCCTGGTGACCTGCTTCGGAGCGGTCACAGCCTTGAAAGCCCTGTGGGGCAGCTCTGCTCCGTGCACAATGGGTCGTCGTGGGCGCCATTGACTCAGCAGCCAGGTACGACAATAGGAAGTGGGATTTTGGGAACTAGATCAGCATTGTTGTTGTTGTTGTTATGTGCTGTTGAGTTGGACCTGACTCATAGTGATCCCTCCTTGGATTTCCAAGGCAGTATCACTACAGAAGTAGACTGTCCCATCTTCCTTCGGAGGAGGGCTGGTGGGTTTGAACCACCAGCCTTCTGGTTAGCAGTCAAGTGCCTTAGGCACTATGCTACCAGAGCTGCCTGGATCAGCACACATAAAAATAATCCTCAGAGAATGAATTAAGCTAGTCCAAAGTAAAACCCCCAAAACACCAAAACCACTGCCTTCGACTCAATTCCAACTCACAGCAACCCCCATGGGTGTCTGAGGCTGTAATCTTCACAGAAGTAGATTGTCCATCTTCCTACTATGGAGGGGGTGATTTGAACCACCCTCCTGTTGGTTAGGAGCAGCCCAATGCTTTAACCAGAGCGTCACCAGAGTTCCTTAGTCCAGGTTAAAGTTACCTCTAAACCAAGTCAACCATGCTGGGATTTCAAAACTGCTCGCAGCTCTGTGAGCCTGAACAGCACCCGCAGAGGCTTGACAGAGGTCATCTGTGTTTCCACTGAAGGGATCCATGCTTTTAACAAGAGCGCTGCGATCAGCCTGTCAGTAACTTTCTATCACAAAAGTACACTAACTGCCATCTTTATTCAGAAGGTCTATTAAGGCAGACAATCCTGTTTGGGCAGCCGGTCCTTTGCCTCTGGACACCGTCACTGAGACCCACCAACAAAGAGTCTGTGAGCACGCCCCCTGGCTAAGCCCCTATTGAGTGCAGGATTTGGGTCCCGGGACAGCTGGGTGGGGAACCCAGCCCTGGACCTTGTCCCTGGCCCTCCTCAAGGGGCCTGCTTCCCCGTGAGAACACAGCTGTGCCCCAACTGTTATGTATGGAATGGGAGCACTGAGAGACCAGGAGTCCAGGACAGGTGACAAATGACAGTGTCCTCCTGTAGCACAGCCCACATCCTTTTTTTTTTTTTTTTCCCCAATTTAAAGGAAATGACAATTTTATCAGAAGCTGTGAGGTCCACAACTGCCAGTGCTCTTCAAACACTCTGCTGATACACCCGAGAGGCCGACACACTCAAGAGGAGCAGAGCAACCCAAACCATCCAACCCTCCACCACAGGGCCTGCAGTGGGCAGACGGTGGAGGGCTGGGCCTGCAGTGGGCAGACGGCGGTGGGGTGGGGGTGCAGCGGGCAGATAGCAGAGGGGTGGGGATGCAGTGGGCAGGTGGAGGTGGGGTGGGGTCAAGGTGGGGTGGAAGTACAGTGAGCAGGTGGAGGTGGTGTGGGGTGGGGGTGCAGGGAGCAGGTGGGGTCGAGGTGCAGGGAGCAGGTGGCAGCGAGGGGCAGGGGCTCAGTGTGACTATCCAGAACTGGAGAGCTGGAGACACTACAAAGGACAACAAGACTCTTGTCTGAGACATGTCTCGACCAGAAAGGAAAACCCGGGTGTCGCTGGGGTGGGCGAGCAGGGAGGGGACGCAGATGCAGGGAGGAGGCTGGCGGGCGGCCAGGCTGAGGGAGCCACTGAGTAGCCTCTGGGCACCCCACGGCCCCACGGGGCCCTACCGAGTCTGTGTGGCCAGCCCGAAGCCCGGGACAGGGCCCAGGAAGCCACCTTAATAGTGGCCACCAGTCTTGTGCCCCTTCAGAGAGAACTGAGACTTTCACATGCCAGGTTCTCCTGTCACCACTCATCTGACAGAGCAAGGATTCTAGAAACAGTGGTGTCATTGACAAGACAGCATGACCCGTTTATGGGGAGTCAGACTAAGAGACTGGCGGCACAGTGCCTAAGACATTTGCCAGCCAGAAGGCTGGCAGTCCAAACCCACCAGCCACTCCTCAGAAGGAAGGCTGGGCAATCTATTTCCGTAGCGATACCGCCTCGGAAACCCAAAGAGGGGTCGCTACCAGTCGGATTGGACTCGACGGCAGCGAGTTTGCCTTTTCTATTTGGGTGACTAACAGACAGCTGGTGGTCAGAGTTGACAATGAAAGCCAAATTTCTCTTAAAGGAAAAAAATCCCATGAGCTATTTCTCTGGAATAAAACTCTAAGTGTCCCTTGTCCTGCAGTAGTCTCATTCTGTGTCACACGGGACCATGCCCCAGATGCTGCCTCCACGGGGCTGGCACCAGGGATGTGCCACAGTGCCTGGGGACCAAGGGTCCCACACAGAGGCCAGCACTCAGCCACCACCACATGTGCACCAATACTCCAAGGAAGGAGGAAAAGCTGTTGTTCCTTTCTTCACCTCCAGTGAAGAGATGCTGAGCTCAGTAAGAACGAGGGGGAGTTTCCAGGGAAAAGGCCACTGGAGTGTCCCCCAGGCCCAGGGATGATTTAAAGGACCCCCTGGCACCAGCCTGTCACCCTGCACTGGCTGGGTGTGACGGGCCTCGGCGCCATCCCGCAGTCAGCGTGACTGTCCAGAGGGCTGTGAACCTGGCTCTCACGCGCCATGGGACCCTATGGCTGACTCAGCCTCCCCAGGACGGACATGCCGCCTAGGAACTGATGCTAGAATGTGACATAGTTGTGGTTTTGGCAGATTCGAAATTGGTATGGCTGAAAACGAAAATCCACATGTTAGTGTTTATGGGAGGTAAGATTGTGGATCAACTTGGCTGGGCCTGGCTGAGTGGCCGGGCAGCTGGATGTAGTATCCCCCATGACGAGACTGGTAACTAACTCCATGGAACAATCTATTGGAGCAGCTAGGAGCTGCTTTAGGGATGCAATCTGCTTCCAGCATACAAGAAGCAAATCTGAGGAAGGTCTCCAGCTTACGGCACGCTTGAACCCTGCATGTAGCTGAGTCACTGTTCAACAGCCTGCCACACCCTGCCAATCTTGGGACTTTTTCTGGACTTGAATTAGTGGCCTGCCGTGTTATTTGGTGATATCGGGACTATGCTTTTTCACTTGCTGACATTGGATCTGTCAACCTCGGCAGCCAGCTGCCACCTGAGTGAAAAAAGCCTCCAGCTTCAGTGGCCGGCAGCAAGAGGCAAAGCTGAAGCCCACGGCCCAGGGGCTTTCACCTAGGCCCCAGAGTTGGCACTTTGAACTTGGACCTCTAGCCTCCAAAAACCGTAAGAATGAACTTGTTTGTTCAGACCACCCATTTGTGGTACATTCCTGTCAGAGAGGCACTGGGTAACCAAAATAGTGTTAAAATAAAAACAAGAGGAAACAGGCAAACACGTACTGGAGACCACTCTCAACTCTAGCAATAGTCAGCTGCGTCCTAAGTGGCACATGGTGTCAAAGCCCTCCCCACAGAGTTTCTAAGAACTGCACGTCGACAGCCGAGTTCTAAGGCAGCAAGAACAAAACTGATGATTCACTGCCAGCTCCCTCACACTGGCTCCCATCCATGAGCACCTGTCACGGAGTAAGGAGACACAACACAGGGTTTAGGGCTAAAACTAAGAGCAGGTAGGAGCCATAAACAAACAGGGACACTGAAAGTTCACGAGAGAAGCAGAGTGAGGAGACGCAGCACATTCAGGGGCATGCTTCTAGGGTCCCTGAGCTAGCACCCAGGCCAAGGACACCGTGGGTGCCGGGCCTGAGCTGGCATCCAGCTGAGGGCACCCACAGGCACCAGGCCTGAGCAAGCATCTGGGCAAGGACGCCTGTGGGCACCGGGCCTGAGCTAGCATCTGGGCAAAGACACCCATGGGTGCTGGGCCTGAGCTGGCATCCAGGTGAGGGCATCCACAGGCACCAGGCCTGAGCCAGTATCTGGGTAAGGACGCCTGCAGGCACTGGGTTGAGCTAGCACCCGGGCAAGGACACCCATGGGTGCTGGGTCTGCATCTGGGAGAGCACACCTGCAGGCACCAGACCTGAGCTAATGCCCAGACGAGGACACCCACAGGTGCTGAGTCTACAGAGAACATACAACGACCATCACTGAAAGGAAAAGAACCCAGACAGGAAAAAGTACCAAAGGCAAAGAAACACGGACATACCAACTCTAGAACAGAGATTGCTGGCAGAGCGGTCTGCTGCAGGCAACAGAAGAGAAAGAGAGATGGGGTGTGAGCAGAGGAGTTGTGTTCAGGCCTGTTCCCACCACGGGCGTGTCTGGGGCTATCTTCCTTCACCTGTTTCTGAAGGGCAACCTCGGGAAAAAAGTACACAACTACAGGCTAACTCGCAGTGACAGCAGACAGAGAAGCATCCACCCGGTACCAGCGTTTGGGTTTTGTCATTAAGATATGCAGAAACTACAAACCCAAAATCTCTCTCCGCTCTCCTATTTAGAGACTAAGATGATAATCTTTTATCGTTTTAATAAGTCGCCACATACTAGAAGGTCATTTTTCTGGAGAAATGTAATTCCCACTAAGGGGCTGTGAAATGTTCAGGGCTGGAGACTGGAGAAACTGACAAATCCTGAGTGCATCCCCTCAGGAGAGAGGAGCCACGGAGCATTACAGGGTGGGACTCTTTGCTCAGTGTTGTGGGGATAGGTTACAACAGCAGCGAACGGCCATCTGATCTGCACCCACAATGGTCTTACAGTCGAGTCTGGGTGCAGGAAAGGGCAGCCTGTCTTTTCCTCTGGGTTTGGGGCTGGAGGCACGAAGCCTGAGTGCTGAATAGCGCCAGCTGGGACCCAGCTCCGGGAAGCCTGGCCAGAGTGGAGGTGACCACACACAGACAACAGCAAGCACAGATAGGACGCGTCAGGTAAGGAGGGCCAGCGTGCCCTGCTCCAGCAGGGCAGGGGCCGCACGAGAGGGCCAGGACTCTGACGGCGACAGCACACGCCAAGTGACCAAGCAGCTGCTCCCTCCAACAGAATGCTCCTGGTGGTAAATTTAGTCATTCTTACAGAAGTCACTGCTGGCCAGCGGGCAGACGCTACCAACAGCAACCCCCAACACGGAGGCCTGCCTTCCCTTAAGCAATGGTAGTGACTCTCGTGGGCTGACTGTGTGCGGGCCCCCAGGAAAGAGCCCACAGGGTGCACGGAGCGGGGCTGCGTGCTGGGCACCACGCGCTGACCCCAGACAAGCTAAAGCTCCATGTCTTAGGAGGCGGCAAGACCTCAGTGCTCCTCAGGCCAGTGGTGCTGCCTCAGACCTGTGGTGCAGACAACACTGGAAGGACAGATGGAGCCCAGGAGGCAGGAGAGTATGCTCTCGGCTGTGTTTCCTCAGAACGGTTCACTGGGTAAAGCTTTTCTAGAAGATCGCCAGAACTCAGGAGCAGGAGGCACTCAAAGGAGCTGACCTCCAGTTACAGCAAGAGCCAGCGGCACCGGTCACCACCCAGCTCTGCCCACGTCTCTGCCAGCAACGCTCCCAGGAGGTAAGAAGGAATCTTGTTTTTCTCTTTAGTTTGGTTTTTGACAACTTGTAGCATTAAATGATTTAAATTTTACTTCATTTTATTTTGAAGAGAAAGAACCAAAGCAGTTGATTCCATAACACAGAATGTGAAGAAAATCAAGAATTCTTAGTGTTTGCAGTGAACTGCAGTCAATGTGTCACCACCAGGATCACTGCTGTGCAGATGATTTCCGGTTATGACATTCAAAATGCCAATCTCACACCCTTAAAGCTGATATTCTTTGTCAACCACCATGAAGTGCTGATGACTGAGATCTGAGGGCAGCAGCTGGCCCTCCACTTGTTTTTGTGCATAAAGTTTCATTGGAACACGGCCATCTGTGGACAATGGGCTAGAGCTGCTGTTGTGCTGTATGGCGGAGCTGAGTGGCAGTGAGGGTGTGTGGCCACCAAGCCTGCACTATTTACCATTTGGGCCACTATGAAAACATCTGCTGACCCCTGATTAAGAGCATGGCTGGTTGGTACCAAATCTTAAAAAGGATCAGGATGCATTTACTAGTCAGAGCAATTTCAGGTCCCACTTACACTCTCAGCCTCACAGCCCTGGCTCACTCCCGTGGGCATCAGCCAACAGCACGTGCCACGAACAGCCCCGCCCCCGAGAGCACGGCTGGGGCCCGGCGTGCAGCCGCGGCACCGACCACGGAGCCCCCTTTACCCTGGCTCTCCTCTCAGCCTCCAGACGCTGCATGACCAGCAGGGCGTCCACGTCGTCGTCGTCGTCGTCCTCCTCCTCCTCATCCTTCTGCTTGGACTCCTGCAGCCGCTTCTGGAACTGCCACTCCAGGAGGAGCCTGCGCAGCCGGTCGCTCTCCTCGGCGCTGCGCTCGGCCTTGGCCTGCAGCTCCTGGACCTCCCGGCTCAGCAGGTCCACGATGTGCAGCTGCTGCTGCTGTTCCAGCTTCTCCTTGGCGTCCCGCTTCCACGGGTCCGGCGACAGGCTGTCGCCGGACGACAGCTCCTCCTTGCTGACGGTGATGTACTGCAGGTCCCGCCGCTCGATGGTGCGCGGCTGCTGCTGGGGCTGCAGCTCGCGGATGACTGTCTCCGGGGGCCTCTGCAGGGTGGAGGGCTTCTCCAGCTTCCCCGGCTGCGCGGGCACCGGGGAGAAGAGCGCAGGGTTCAGGGCCTGGGTGCGCATCTGGCCCAGCTTCCGCTCCTGCTCCCTGCGCTTCCTCTCACGCTCCTCTTCCAAGCGAGCCTTCTCCTTCTCATACCACCTCTGCTGCTCTTCTCTCTTCTTCCGCTCAGCCGCCGCAGCCGCCTGGGCAGACGGGGTGCCCACCTGGCCCACAGCAGGGGCGGGTGGCAGGGGCAAGTCCATCGGCATCCCGTCAAAGTCGCTGGCGTAGTGCACAGGGGGCGGAGGGGGCGGGGGGGGCAGGTCTGTGCGGATGGGCTGGGAGACGGCCACTGGCGTCGACTGGGCGGCAGTGGGTGTTTTCCAACGGCCAGGGCCGCTTTTGGTTAAAGTGGACGCAGGGGTGGCAGGTTTAGAGGAATGGTTCAGCTGCTCTTGGCTCGATGTGCTGGACTCCACTGAGTAGCCCTGGTTTAGCCACATGTCACTGTCTGACTTCCGGTCCACAGCAGCGGCCACCCGATGCCTCTCGAGCTGGTACACGTGGTCATCTCGAAGCTCTTCTTGGGAACGGGTAACACGCTGGAAAAGAGAGCAGCACTGTTACCCTCCAACCACCTACCAAAGGGCATTAACCATTGTAACTTCAGAAAGAAGAGCTACTCAGAAAACTGAGCTCACGACAGGGCCCAAGTGCAATTCAGCAGCTGACTGTGTGGCACCACGGTGCTTCCTCAGTGCCTCTGGCTGTGGAGTGCAAGGGAAGCTGTGCCTACTCTCTGTCACTGCTGAGACCATCAGACACAAAAAAGATCAAGCCTTTCCTCAACCGTGCCCACCACCCCCAGCATGCCACCACCACCAGTGCTCGTCTCTGGAGGGGATCAGCCACACGTGGACTAGAGAGACACCCCTCTTGAGTGGCACAGAGCGCACTGTCCAACTGTGTGTCCAAACCCACCGCCCATCAGCCTCCAGGGCAGGGCCAGGCTTAGGGCAGCTTCTGATTCTGACATGAATTAGTACCAGATGGGGCCTCTCAGCTCTCATTGCCCACTCCTAGAATGTGGGAGCCTGCAGTTCAGGCTTTCCATGACTGGTGCTCCAGGATCAAACACTAAGGCAACATACTAAGTCTTCTATCCTACCTGTTATTCCTCACTCAGCCACAAAACCATGAAAGGAAACAGGATGCTGACGGCAATCCTGTCCTGCAGACTGAGCAATGCTCACCGTCCGTCAGAGTGGCGCACTCTCATGGCACGTGGGCATCTCACCTGAGCGGCCAGATTGGCACGGTCATCGTCCATGTGCAGGTGCGGCTTATCCTCATGATCCAGCCACTGGCTCTGTGTGGGGACCATCCGGTCCTGGGACTTGGATGCAGGGAAGGTGAAATACTCACGAGGGTGTGTCTGTGTGGGGATGGGATATGCTTCCGGCCGGGGCGGAAGGGCCTGCTCCTGGGGAAGGCAAGAGCACAGGAAAGTGGGCTCAGGACCTGCACAATGGGCTCACGGAACTGCAGTTACCTACTTCAAATGGGAAGGGAAGAGATTTCAACAATGAGTTTAAAGATTAGTGTTTGAGTCTATTCCAGGAACAAGAAGAAACATTTTATTTTGCCAAGACTTAACTTAAAATGAATTTACTCAACTACTGTTTTT